CTCAATTGAGAACAATTAACAGATCGGGTTTAAACTGTAACGGGAAATATCATCTGTACATCTGTAGTTGCAAGCTATTTAGACACAAAAACGAGGACTTAGTACAGATCAGTATAGCCTGTGATCAACCAAAGAAGATTATTACGATGATGACGGACGGTGAAGACTAAAACATACTTGGTGATAACGGATCTTCACAAACAAAAGGTAGAGTCTTGTCCTTGGTGGCCCCACTCCATGTTCCTGACCAGGAGGTTTGAGCGGCATCTATATTTGGGTCGTTGGGTGTTTGGTTGAGGTACCACCTTGTGCGTGGCGGGAGAATTGGGTAAAGACTGTCTTTATAAAACCACGCCCAACTTCCTTCTTTAGTTTTCTTCAAACCAATCCAGACGTCATGAGGTAACGTTTTTGCGGCTATTTATTGATTATAAATTAATAAAATATTTAGTTATTTAATTAGAGCTGTTTTCATATTAAAATAATATATCGATATGTATGAATGCATATATAAAACTATAAAAATGTTACCACAATTTGTGCCACCATTTCTAGCAATATGACTATGAGAGAGACCCTTGGTACAATTTTATTTCAATAAATTGCTTGCCCATAGGAGTCTTGAGTCTTGAACAGGAGGATGGGGGGGGGGCAGATACACTGAGTAAACTTCAAGCCTGGGACCGAAATCACAACATTTGACTCAACTGGTTAGGCCAGTGATTCTCAACCAGTGTGCCGCGAGATCTTCCTATGTGTGCTGTGCGCGAAATTTTGAACGGCAGACTAAGAAAATGCGAAAAACCAGTGATCCCAATCGATTATTCACTGCTGTCTACTGATAAGTTCATAGCCGTGTTTTTCTTTATTTAGTTCGAGTCATTCTATGTGTCTACAACTAGTCTCTGTATACGGTTGTATGCCATCTGACTTACCATGCTTATATTTTGCAAAATTCAGATATTTTTCATATATATTTAGCCAGGTGTGCCGCTATTTTTTCATGTGTTCCAAGGTGTTGGCAAAAAAGGGTTGAGAACCACTGGGTTAGATGAAGTAAACAACCAAAAAAAAAAAACCCCAAAAAAACCCAAAAAACAAAAAGGATCAAGTTGTTGTCGTAATTTCAATTATATGATTGGGTGCAATATTATTTCTTACCCCGATTCGTTGCCATCATTACTTCATCTTGTTCTAGCCTGGTTTCAAAATGAACCAACTGCATGTTCTGCGACTCACAGAATTGAACAGCCCCACTCCAGGTACGTCCATTGGAATAGAAATAATAACAATGGTTTTGGGAAAATAGTATCAAATTGGCCTGTTTCTTCTTCACACACAGGTTGATGTTATCCTCGACTAAATAGAAAATTTGAAATTCCAAATTAAAAGATTAATTAGAACATAGAACAGCATACTATCAATTTAGATTTTGTCCAAACCATTAGTTATATTTTAAAGTCCCTGATTGCCATTTGTGTTTTTGAACACTATGATTTTTATTGGCTAAATTCACGAATGATGTATTGATTATTTATTTTGTTATGTAACATTTAATCAAGAAAGCAAAACCAAAATATCAACTTGAATTAAATGGGGCCCATGTAAAGATTGTACCCAAGAAGGTGGTGCTGATTGGTGTTTACTTATATTTTCTGAAGAAGATGCCGAATGTTGTTAAATTTTGTAATAGGAAAACGTGATCCGACACCATCTTGAGGCATATTAATAAATATTTATATTGCTCGAGAATTCATGAACAATAAATTTTAATCAATGTGCATTACCGCATAGAAGAGAAAAAAATAATTAAAAGCACATAATAAAAAAAAAAAGGCTTAACACTGGTATCCTTATTCAAAATCACATTTCACATAATTCTGTAGGTCATTTCCAAAAGCACTATCACTGATTTGAAACCATTCAATAAATCAAAATATTATGTTAATTTATTTTATGTATGCCCATAACAAGTTGTCCGGTTTGTATATTATTTTCTGAGGTTATTGTAGCAGTGGAAAATCCAACTTCAATTATTTCTTCCTTTAAGAAAAGCGGTTTTCATCAGCGTTATATTAGTCCTTATATCGGAGAAAAAAAGGCAACTAAAAAATTTGTTATCTCTTACCTGCTGGATCAGGGCCAGGACCAGGACCAGGACCAGGGCCAGAACCAGGCCCGGGACCCGGTCCAGAAGCGCGACTGGGCTTCATGAAAACACAAATACTTCCTATGTTGCTTATTATCAACGTAAACAGAAATAAGGTCCGCATTTTATAACTCCGGTTCTTACACCCAAAGGATCTCTAACTACACGCCTTATCAAGGAAACGATGTCATGTTACTGTAATGTATCATAATTAATCTCATATTTCGATACACTTTAAGCTTTCATAATGCTATTTACACATTGACATCAACCCATTTTTAAGTTTATTTAATAATATTGTATGTTACATCTGTACATGATATCTTCAAAAGAGTTTTTTTCTCTGGAACAAATGATGTTTTTGTAATATTTAATTAAATCCGTCAACTTGACACCTTGTAAAGAAATCACTGCACTTTGATATTTTGTTGGTCTGTACAATAATGTTTGGTTTTATGATGAATAGTAAACTCACAACATCGATCTATAGATAATCGGCTCAGTACAGTCCATCATTTTAATTTATCCACAGATCGTTTTATAAGCTCGGCTTGTCCATTGTGGTCGTAAATTAATGAAACAAAAATATGCCATACTTCTATATTAAAGTAATGACAGTGTTTGTGCTGACTGGGGGGTTGGATGGCTGAATGGCTGAATGGTTAGCGTGCGCGCGCTGTATCATAAAGTCTGTCATTGAGTCGACTGGCGTGGTTTCGAATCCCCGGTTGTACGTGACAAGGAGTAGGGTCGCCTGTCCAACCTCGTGGGTTTTCTCCGGGTCCTCCGGTTTCATTCCACTGCTAAAGACCCTATGCGCAAGCGAATTATTGAAATAAAGTTAAACCATATGTTAGTCCCGAAATGACCTAGTTTGTGTCGAGTGGACGTTAAACCCCATTTCTCTCTTTTTCTCTCTCTCTCTCTCTTGTGCTGACTGGATGGTAATCGAGTCACCGTAAAGAACCCTTAGCAGCTGGAGTTCGATGAAGAGTAAGCGGAAACGCCGCTGTCCGGACCAAATTATCCCGATAGAAAACTGCATGAGGTTAGTATTTCGGTCTTCGTTAGTCCGCTAGAACAAAAAGTAAGACGTTCGAATTAATTTCATTTCATCCCCCTCGAACTCCATACAAGGGAGATAACTGCAATATATTGAAAGCATACCGCTAGAAGAACTAAGAATTGTTGCGAGAGAGATAGGCTTTAACGTCCACTCGACACAAACTAGGTCATTTCGGGACTAACATATGGTTTAATTGTATTTCAATAATTCGCTTGCATGTAGGGGTCTTTAGCAGTGGGAGGAAACCGGAGGACCCGGAAAAAACCCACGAGATTGGATAGGTGACCCTACTCCTTGTCACGTACAACCGGGGATTCGAAACCAAGCCAGTTGACTGAATGACAGGCCGTATGATACAGCACGCACGGGCTAACTATTCGGTCATCCAACCCCCAAAGAATATTTGCGATCATTTATAAAATGAAATGAAATGGGACTTAACGTCTTACTGTTCTGCACGGACCGGGCTAATGAAGAAGAGCATACTCCACCATACAATGTGCTATATGAAGATAATTTCGTCCTGACAGGCTTCTTTTACATGTACGCCAATGTGTACACAGGACCTCGGTTTTTCATTTTATCCGAACGACTAGACACCCTCCATCCTGCACCACTGACAAGGGAGAACTTGCTCGGGCAACAAAGGAAGTGAACACGAGATCTGGTTTCTCACAAAGCCACCGCTGCTTCCCCATTTATAAAGAGGGGGGGGGGGGCGAATTGTTAACTCATGCATGTCAGAAGGTCTGTCATTAAGTCAAGTGGCTTTGTTTCGATTCCCCGCTTGTCCCACTGTTAAAGACTCCTACGCGTAAGCGAATTAGCCACAGCTGGTCTAAAGGGTGTCAACTTCAGATAGACCTGATTGTGGATAAACTTTGTTCGGGGCAAGTTCCTGAATATCAAACCACAGGACGGCCTGACATAAAATATATTGTCAATGTTTAATTCTGTCTGCATGATAAGCTAATATTTATTACAATTTTGAAAATTAACACCTGAGTTTTTATATTAGGTTGAATGTTCACGTGAGAGAATGCTGCTGACAAATATTGCGGATACTACACTATAACCCTTTACCAAATGCTGCAAGAAACATTGGTGTTTTTATCACTCCTGGTTTGCAATATACGTAGAGATAAAATGAAATGGGGTTTAACGTCCTACTTTTCTTAATCACTGGGATAATGACGACGCCATGCAGTGTCCTGTGATTTAACTCCACTCTATATAAACTAGGTCATTTTGAAAATAACATATCTTTCAATTTTATTTCTGGTTCGTAGTGGTCTTTCCACGAGATAGGGCCGACGATCCTACTCATTGTCACATACTACACAACTTGACTCTGTGTGACAGACCTTATTATCTAATGTGCGTACGTTGGACTTTTAGAACATTCGACACCCGCTGTACCTCTAGAAGAAAGTTGTAGGGGGTAATGCATGAACAAAAAACCAGTGTCAATTAACGCTTATTTATACGACTTTGAAGCAAGAAAATATTAAAATAAAAGAAAGTGTAATGTTTATCTCTCTTGCGAATATTGAAACCTTTGTAGATAGTGTTTTACTTTGGAATCTCATAGAACCATATCACTGGGGGCCAACTAAAGAATAACAACTGATCTGAACCTAGGTTAATCCACATTATGGTTCTCCATGGATGTCTTTCAATTAACTGTCTTTTCTTTAGATAAGGAACTCTAGCCCTTAGAATAGCACAGCTCTCATTATGGTTATTCTTTCCAAACAAAGATCATACAATAAAAAAAGACAAATATTATCTAAAAATTAGATTCTGTTATTTGAATATACAATCTTAATATTCTATAATTATTTAAGAATTATACCCAGTAATGACATTTGTAGTTATAATCTTAATATACAATAATTATTTTAGAATTATATTCCATCAATTTAAATTTAGCTTCTAATACAACAATTAGATTCTTCATTTGTAAATTAAATTTTAATAGACATGAATTATCTGAGAATTAGATTCTTCATTTGTAATAATTAAAACTAACAGACCTGAATTATCTGAGAATTAGATTATATATCATTTGTTAACTTAAGATTCTGATATTTGTACAAGAATATAAACCCTTAGTCATCAATAATATTACACTATAATTATTTGTGGAATATACTCTGTAATTTCTCATTTATAATCTCAGTAGGCAATACTTATCTAAGAATTTGCAATTAAAAATCCTATAAGACAAATAGTCTTCTAGGAATTAGATACTATAATGTAATTTACAAAATAAAATCTTAGTAGACGATAATCTTCTAAGAATCAGATTCTTTAATTTGTAATTGATATAGATCTTCTCTTCTCTGTTTAGATATAGGCACCATTTCTCTAACTTGTTTTAAATATTCTAAATCTGAAAGAACAATAATATCCATATGTACCTTCAGTTGAAATCTTAAAACTGCACAGGTTTTGAATACTACAAGGACGCTATACAGGGTGGACCCCAGATGGATCAAGGGATGGTTTGACAACCTAGTGGGGTTGATGAGTCCAGGAGAAAATGTGGTATACAGGAGATGGTTTGAACAACCTGATTTGAGCTGAGATGATTCCAGCTCAAAATTTGTTGATCTGTTTTAGCACTGGGCTATCGACTGGAATGTGGAGTAAAACCTTCAGATACTTTTAAACCTAGTTGTTACTGGTTATCTTTGGCACCTGCAGGGACGATTAACATTGTGCACCTAGTCATTCAAATTGGATGAGAAACTGAGATCAACATTGACCCAAAACAACAGGACCTGTGACACAGCTGGAATTCATTGAAGAGCAGATTAAATTGCTACTCATGTTCTGGTAAAATTATTTTGCATAACAAATTACACATATTGACATTAGACATTGACCCAAAAGTAATGTGATGTGAAGTAATTAAATTTCATGTTTTTATTTTCCTTTTAAAATATTTATAATATGTACTAAATATGTTAAGTCATCTATATCACCAACCAGCAGTTGCCATGCAAGATACACCCACATTTTGCAAAAGATGAATAGAACACAAGCTAAACAAAACCCGCAATATTTCGTACAATCAGGGGGCATAATCAAAGAATTTATGGTCTCAAATGAGTGAATATCGAGAGGAACTGAGATCTTTGGGGTATAAACATATATTTTAAGTTCCATCACAATCGGACAAAAATTGTGAACTCTAGAGCATTCACAACCTTCACATTACATACTTTTATACTATGTACATAAAAGGACAGGCCATCTTAGCAATTCAAACTCAATAGATCTTTTTGGAGATAAAACTATATATCAAGTTTCGTCAAAATCAGAAAAAAATTGTGACCTGTAGAGTGTCCACAAATAAATTCTGGATGGACAAGGGTGACTACAATATATGTATTCGACTCAAAATACCCAGTAATTATAAATGCCCAGTTTCCCATCCATATAGCCACCTTGATTGCTACTGTACTGTGGTAACTTAAATTTCCTCATAGTATAAATTACTTAAAAAAACTCACCAATATCTGAATAAACAATAGTTTTTTCATGTTCTGTTGTTGATATAACATCTCCCCTGAAATACCAAATTCTATATTTTTAACATATCACACATTTTTTACATTGTTTATAGTTTACCAAGCACTATTCTACAAGTGGCATCTTACACTTTACTAAGCACTATTCTACAAGTGGCATCTTACACTTTACCAAGCACTATACTACAAGTGGCATTTTACACTTTACCAAGCACACAAGTGGCATCTTACACTTTACCAAGCACTATTCTACAAGTGGTACCTTACACTTTACCAAGCACTATACTTCAAGTGGTATCTTACACTTTACCACTATTCTACAAGTGGCATCTTACACTTTACAAAGACAAAGCGATTATACTTTATTTTAGTAAATTTCAAGTGGTATTTATAGCCTAATTAATAATCAACGATTGTTTATCCCTTACCATGGATTAACTACGGTGCTATGTCCCCATGCTGTATATTTGGCCTTTTCATCTCTGGCTGGTGAAATGGTTGCAACATAGAGTTGATTATCTAGTGCTCTTCCACGCTGTAATAACTCCCAGTGTGCTGGTCCAGTCGTCATATTAAATGCTCCTGGATACAGCAGCAACTGACAACCTTTAAAAATAATATTCCAAATTAGTTTGTATCACAAATCTATATGGATAATGATTTTAACTTGAATAATTTTCCATTATTTCTATCCTAGCTAATGAGGGATATTTTGCCCAGACAGTGGCGCTAGGCTGGGGTCTACTCTTATTTCAAATTCCAACTATCAAGGGTTATTTTACGTGTGGGCCAATTTGTACACAGGACCTTGTAAACTGTAGGTAGTAATGCCTTGGTTAGATGTTAGAGCAAATGTTGACTTTCAAACACGTCTTTCACAATACGCATTCAATATTACTTTGAAAAAAAACCCCTGATCCATTCATGTATGGAGTCGAATCGTTGTCATATTAGGAGAAAATATCATGGTTAAAATTGAAATATTGAGTGAAAATGGTAAAAATGGGCATTTTTGGGATTTTTCACTTGTTAATATTTTGATAACAGATCCTGATTACTTGAGATCGGCATGTCACTTTTTTACCCTAATAGAAACAGCTACTTTAAACCAAGCTTATTATGTGATCTAGAATAAGAATAGGGTAGTTTAGATAAAGATCATCTTATATTCATAGTCACACATAGATCAAAACCTTGCATACTCTATCATAACTATAAACCCATGAATCAAGATTATATATATATTACCCTTGAAAATAATTTATTTAAAGTTTAACCATTAACTTAGTTTCTATGGTTACACAGGGTATATCTTTATTTCAATATTTGTCTTACATGTAGGGGTCTCAAATAGTAGGAAAAAACCCTGAAGGACAAAGAGAAATCCCACGAGGTTACCCAGGAGACCATACCGCATGTTCAAGCCTGGGATCAAAACTAAAAACAGCCACAGACCTAATGATCTATAGCACATACATTTGAACATTCTACCCCATTCATAAGAATCGGACGTCATTTTGAACACTCTACCTCATTCATAAGAATCAGACATCATTTTGAACACTCTACCCCATTCATAAGAATCTAACGTCATTTGAAATCAGTGATACAATCTGATAAATTCTAAACAGAAAGTGTAGCTCATTGCTTTTTCACGTCAATTTTCGTTTTATTTAATCAAGTAAAAAGAACTGTGAGGTGATGGAAACACACCACACATATAACAACTTTCCTTTAACTCGGTTGACTGGTTAGTCCTGCCTATTGTGACAAGGGAGGTAAGTGAAATTGTAAGTGAATAATTGTTCTATTTAAATGATCAGGCCTCACCTTTTCTAGCATACGCTTGTCCTAACTCAGCAAATCTAATATCATAACATATGGCTACTCCTACTTTACAAAAAGCTGCAAATTAAACATCATAAAAATTCTTAATACAAAATATATATCAGATGCATGTATTATTCTTGCATAGAACATTAATCTTTTAAAACCAAAAATCATCACCAATCATTTTTGTCAGATATTGTAGTTATACTTAAATCCTTAAAGTATAACTTATCATATTTTGTCCAAATAGTGTTGACCACAATATGTTGTTATCATTAATAATGTAACAACTTGGACTGTTATCTGTTAAAGTAAGGCTGCAATAAAAAACATATAAAAGATCAAAACAGATATTTAGCAACTGGCAACATATATTTTGTGCTTTGAATCTTAATCTGTTGAACTGTTTGAGTTATCTTCCTATATTCAATTAAGGATGATAAATCATTTCCTAAATAGTGCTAGGAAACTGGAGAACACTGAGAAAACAAACGAGATTGGACAGACAACTCCTTGCTGTCAGATATTATCAGGGAATCAAAACCACGCCACCTGACCCAATGACAGACATTATGAAAACCACGCTGGAAAATCACAATGAACTTTGTTGGCCAATGCAGGGATCGAAAATACAACCTCTACTCCCGACACCAGCTTCACTGTTATTATGAAGTCCACGGTGTACTAGTAAATTGATAGCTGGTTATGTCCATTTGGGTTCTGTTAATAATCAAATAAAGATATAAACAAACTTACGAGTATCGAAAGTTGTATATTGACTGCCAGGACTTAAAACTTCAGATTCTTGAAATCTAATTTTACCAGGAACATCAATGTCAAACAAATGAATCTTGCAAAAAATATAAAAAAAAAATACAAATCTAGATTTTCCTTCCTAGGCCCAACTGAGTAACGTTTTTGTTGGAACCCATGAATTCCACCGGCATGGTTTCGAATCGCTTGGTGTACGTGACAAGGAGTAGGGTCGCCTGTCCAACCTAGTGGGTTTTCTCCGGGTCCTCCGGTTTCCTCCCACTGCTAAAGACCCCTACGCGCAAGCGAATTATTGAAATAAAATTAAACCATATGTTAGTCCAGAAATGACCTAGTTTGTGTCGAGTGGACATTAAACCCCATTTCTCTCTCCCATGAATTCCTGTTTATTGCGCCAGTGCCATGTTCACCGAGCGTCTCAGCACCTCAAGATTGGCAACAAGCATATTAACAACCACTCCTATTGGGGCATTACATTGTAACAGCAATTACCTATTAACGAGGGGATCACAGTGGCTAAGTGGGTAAGGCGCTGGCTCGCTAGCCTAGAGGTCAGGTGTTCGATCCCTGCATTGGCCGAGAAAGTTCATCCCGATTTTCCGGCGTGATTCCCCCTTGTCAGTGATGCAGGACGGAGGGCCTGACAAGGACAGCTGTCTAGTCATTCGGATGAGACGAAAAACCGAGATCCCGTGTACACATTGGCGTGCACGTAAAAGATCCCTTGATAGTTGGAATTCGATATAAGAGTAGGCCGTAGTGCTGCTGTCCGGGCAAAATTTCCCTCATAGCACACTGTATGGCGTATGCCCGTCTTCATTAGCCCAGTTAGGAGCAAAACAGTAGGACGTTAAACCCCATTTCATTTCATTTCATTTCACCTATTAACGAAGTCGTCAAATTTAACTACTTTCTCATTTTAGCAATTTTTTATGCTTCAGACGTGACATTTCAACAAAATCCAACCATTGAAAAACTATATTGTGTTTTTATCCTGTATGCAACAGCCTTCGACAGAACTTCCAACTTCCTAATACATGTAGCTATTATATGTACTTATGTGTCAATATGAAGATTCTATACCTACCTTTCTATGTTTGGCTATCAGTTTTCCTTCTGGATTGAATATTGTACTAGTGTTATAAAGTTTGCCATTGTGTTCTTCTGGAATTGACCCTGGAAATATACATTTAACATGGTTAATATCTTATTTATAAGTAGAGCTGGTCGCTTTTTTAAAATTTTAAACATTCACTTTTTCAATACTTTCAGTAATCTAAACATGGAGACTCGTATACTAAAAACTAAGTACAATTTGTGGAAATACACAAATGAAAATAAATTCAAGAAATTACTAATTAGCTAAATGCACACAACTTCCATGATAGGTTAGATTTGAGCACAGTTATAAAGATATCTTGAACAGTTTATTTGATATATTTCAGAAACAAATTTGTGACATCAGGATGGTGAGATGGATCCCATTTTAATATCTCTTACTTAACTTCATTCAGCATGCGATAATCATTGCTACTAAAGTTCAGAGAAGATTTACTTCATACGCCTAAGAGACTAATATATAACCCACAAACATTAAACAGACACAATGTCAATGAGCATTGGACGCAAACACAAAACAAACCTATATGTATTGGTGACCAATCCGTTCAGTTTATCTGAGGATGGTATATCATAAGATATGGCTGCCAACAATTTAAGAAAACATTAATTGTACAAAAACTATGAAATTATTATTTTCTTTGCGCCAACAGAATATTAAGTAGGGCCAACATTTTCTACTTTAAAATGATAACTAAAAAACATTATGTATCTAAAATTAAAATGACAGGTATGATCTCTTTAAAGTTTTTACTCCCCTGCCAGTTCACATAAGGGATTTGCTGGTGTTTTGATTGAACACTTTTTTCTTACCTCCAACAAGGAAAATCTGATTCTCTTTAGCAGCTTCAGCCAAGGCATCAGTTGATGGACCTGGTATTTTCTCAGCATAGTCAGCAAAATAAGATGTACCATATGGGGAGTTAAAGCATTCCTGTAAACAGATATTATAAGTGGTTAAAGAGAGAGAGAGAAAGAGAGAGAGGGAGGGTTTAACATCCACTCAACACAATACGAGTAAGCAGTAGTGCTACTAGTGCAGCTGTCTGGTCAAAATTTCCCTCATAGTAGACTGTATGGTGTATGCCTGTCTTTATTAGCCAAGTTCGTGCAGAAAAAAAGTAGGATGTTAAGCATCATTTAAATTTTAGGAAAAATGTACTGGTTTGTAGAAATAACACAGCAGAATTATTATTACTTTATGGCAGTGTAAAATCAAATAGAAACCAACTTTAAATAGCCATAAGTTAAGCTTGAATTTATTCATTTGAATTATTTTTGGACCAGTAGGTTTTTTAATAGAACTACTTTTGTTCTTGTGTGATGTAGTCCTACACTATAATTATTCACTTAAATTCTGGTATGTTAGGCCTTCAAGAAGTTCAACAACCAAAATTCAAGTAGTATCAAGCCTGCTAACTGCAAATATTTGTCAATTCTGATACAAAGTGAAATGGGGTTTAACATCTTACTGTTCTGTTCCGACTTGGCTAATGAAGACAGGCATACGCAAATCAGTGTGCTATGGGGAAATTTTGCCCAGGCAGCGGCACTATGGCCTACTCTTATATCGAATTCCAAATGCTAAGGGATCTTTTATGTGCACGCCAATGTATACACGGGACCTCACCTTTTCCCCCATCCGAACGACTAGACTGCTGTCCTTTTCAGGCCCTCCATCCTGCACCACTGACAAGGGGAAACCACATCAGAAAATCCTGATGAACTTTCTCGGCCAACGTCTTACCCACTTAGCCACCGTGACTCCCAATTCTTATACAAATGGGTCTTAACTTCTCATTATATATATTCTGCTCCAACTGGGATAATGAAGACATGCAATTCTGATACATGTATCTATATGAATATACAGTGGACCCTAATATTGTGTTAATCTTAGACTTACTGGTAGTGCTACTATCTTTGCTCCATTAGATGCTGCCTCTTTAATTAATCTTACAGCTTTAGTCAGATTATCTACTTTTGAGGCCCCAACAGCCAACTGCAGTAATGCAAGCTTAAATTCTGTAAGACACAAAATAAAGGACTTATCAACATTTACAGTACCGGTATGGTAACAGCAAGAGATCTAAGAACCAGCACCCTTGTAAACTCCAATTTGAATTGGAAAATCCCATGTATTCTATTTTTAGCTGAAATTTGTGATGACAGCACAGCTGTTTCCACATACTCCTCGCAGTGTTTCATTTGATTAGACCTAATCCCACTCGATCACCGCTGTAATGAAAGCAAATTTCTGTTAAAAATTATGACAGGTCAAGTCAGATTAACAACCAAAATCTAACTGCGTAACAATATCATTCAGGTTTAAACAGAGCCGCAGATAATGTTTACATAACGTTACGTCATGACTCACAAAATTTATTATGCCCAATTAACCAGTGTATAGCAGAATATTGCAGAAAAACTAATTGCGTGACAAACCGACTACAATTTAAACAATACTGCTTTGAGACGAACAATACTTTTGCCGTTTTTAATACCTTAAATGACTGTCCAAAGTTTTAGCGAAGACCCCAGATTAAACGAATGGGCTGTCATGTTGCTGTACTTAGGTGAGATTTGATTGTACGGGAAGAATAGACACACTCCCTCAAAAGCTCAAGTATCAGAAGTCAATCCAGCAATGGCCAGAGAGGGATTTCTCGGGCCATTGCTTCAGGAATATGCTGTTTCCATCACTTTTCATTTTTTTTATACTGAGAGAAAATTTGATTTTGGTGAGCTTTACACAGAGAGAGAAAAAAAATGGGATTTAACATTTCAGACTAGCATATGATTCAATTTTATTTCAACAATTAGCTTGAGTGCAGGGCTCATTTCACTGCAGTTGACTCATGACCTTATGATCTGAAGCGCAGAATGTAAGATGTAAAAGAATAACAACTGTTATATACTCTCTCAATCATGCTTCAAAATATATCTTGGTATAGGCATACAGGCCTGATGAGTTGGAGTGGGTGGGGGGGAGAAATGAAATGAACGAAAAAATTATTGTGGCAGCTGACACGATCGAAGCACAGTGTCAAGGGACCCCACCCCAACAACCCAGCAGATTCAACATGTGAGTAGGCCTACATCAGTGCTCAGTAGTTTAATATGGGGGACATCCCCTACAAAATTTACAAAAATTAGACCGCCATGACACACACGTTTACCTGCAATTTCAGACTGTAAGTAAGCTTACACAAACTTGAAAGCCCGGCCAAGTTAATAATAATAATAAAACTATCTAGCTTTAATTATTTATACGGTTTGGCATTTGAATTAAATCCCACGTTTTGTCCATCTCAATTTGAATCAACTAATCAATTAAAGTGTTGCAGATGCATTCACCGGACACTTCACTTTCAAGTAAATAAAAAAATAACCATCTAACTTTGTATTTATTATATATATACTATATAGTGGGTCAATATTTGTGTTAAGAATAAAACCATCAACGTGGAGCATGTACAAGTTATCCGATACGGGCTTACTAAACTATAAATTATGCATGTGTTATATATAATATATTGAATGTGAAAACAATAAATACTTACTGGATGACATGACAATTTATGCAACGGTTCTCCTTGAAATAATTCTCTTAAAACAAAAAGATCGTTTGCAGAGCTTCAATGTAGGTCGCCATTTTAAGTGTCACGTGACGATGGTTTTATACCAGATCAACGGTTGATCATGAAGTGGTCTATTTATAATTCTATGAATTTATTACATTTAAAGCCCGCCCATCAACAAACTAAATGAATCTACTTGAATTGGATTGACAAATATAAATAATTTGTATGTCTAGGCTATTGATTTTTTTTATTCAATTCATTTGTCTTCGTACGTATCGTCCAAAGTCTTAATCGACAATGAAAACACGGATTAGGCCCTATTTGTCAAAGTCAACATTGGTGTTGTGATCTTACCGAGTAAAGATGAGCCTCTGACAGAGCATTAGCCTAATGCTTGTCTGGTTATTTCAATGCATCAAAATACGTTTTCTTTCCTGGATAAACCCCAACCCTAACTAAAGATATATATGCACCCAACAAACCGTCGATAGCTAGCACATACACCAGCTATTTAATGCATCTGCTGAAACGAACCGATTTGTACACCTAAAGCCTACACATTTTCCTCCGAATAGAACAACCTCTTACTCCAGATATTGATGCGTCCGTTGACAAGAAGGGCTTTCCCCAATGAAACTCATCCCCCATTCAAGATAGTTAATGGCCCTGCTGCAAAGAGCGACTTTCCCCATGAAACACATCCCTTACTCCAGATATTTAATGCTTTTGAAAAGTCCAACTTTTCTCAATGAAACCCATCCCTTACTCCCGATATTTAATGCTGTTATTGAAAAGAGCGACTTTACCCATTAAAACCTACCCGTTACTCCAGATATTTAATGTTTCTGTTGAAAGGAGCGACTTCTCGCCAGATATCTAACGCATCCTTTGGAAAGAGCGACTCGCCCCTATGAAACACATATCCCTTACCCCAGATATCTGATGCGTTAAAAGAGCGATGTTCACCTATAAAACCCTCACTCAAAATATGTATTGCTATTGTTGAAAAGAGCAACTTTCCCCAGATATTTAACGCATCCTTTGGAATGAGCGACTTTACACTGTAATAACCATCCCTTCTTCCAGATATTTAATATTTCTGTTGAATAGAGCGACTTTCTCGGATATTTAACGCATGGAAAGAACGACTTTACCCAAGAGAAGCCAGCACTTACGCCAGATATTTAAGGCTTTTGTTGAACAGCGACTTAACCCTATAAAACCTATCCCTTACTGCAGGCCCGTAGCCAGCCTCCTGACTGCGGAGGGGCGGTGAACTTTATTTAATGAGGCAACTTATTTCGTTTGCAAAAAAATAATCTTCCATAAGTTGGAACCAGTACCAACAAACACACAATGTTGATGATAGACCTCGCTCAGGTCGTCCTAGAGCCACTACACAAGCCCAGCATCGATACATTCGTATACAGGTCCCGCGAAATCTAGGACAACCGGCCAATCAGCTTTCTGTAAACTTGTACCAAGTCACAGGAATTCGAGTTCCACCCCAATCGATTACATGCAGCCCATTTGCATGCGCGACGACCGCCTGTTGTGCCTCCATTAACTCGCCAGCACATGGCAAACAGGCGTCAATGGTGTAGGCAGCGTAGAAATTGGGGTTATCGTCGATGGGCGCGTGTAATGTTCTCAGATGCGTCCAGATTTACTCTGGATTTCACCGATAGGCGTGCCCGCGTTTGGAGGCGTGTAAATGAGCGTCATGCTAACGTTAACGTCAGACAGCATGACAGATTCGGGTGTGGGTCTGTTATGGTGTGGGGAGGAATCACCATGACTGGCAGAACGGACTTGCATATTGTTCCAGGAAAGGTCACTGGTGTGTACTACCGTCACCACATCCTGGTACCGATAGTTCTGCCGTTTGTTCAACGTGCAGGTCGACGTTTCATCTTTCAAGATAATGCCCGTGCGCAACGCGCTCGTGTCGTGAATGACTACCTCGAGTGTCACCATATTGTCCATATGCCAACCATGAGTCCTGACCTTTTCCATATATAGCATGTCTAGGACATGATCGGGAGACTGTTCTTCGACGTCAACGTCAACCGACAACACTGCAAGAATTGGCCGTAGCACTGCAAGAGGAGTGGGTCAGATTGCCCCAAATCGTGATTGGACGGTTGATTATGAGCATGCCACGACGAATTGCTGAATGTGTGAGGATTGGTGGAGCAACTCATTATTAAGACAAAACTCAAAAACGTCCATTTTCACTTTTGACAGTGTATCTCTTTGTGAGTGAAATATAGATTATATTAGGGTATACAGGTTGTGGGTGTTTATAACATACTGGCTGAATGGCCGAGCTAACTATGACAATTATTTACCTTTACGCCACACACAAGAGCTACGACTCCGTTACATGGAGAGAGAGAGAAGGGAGAGAGGGAGTTCCTGGCGAGAGTGTTATCAGTGTTTAAGAGAGAGAGAGAGAGAGAGAGAGTGTGTTTAACGTCCACTCGACACAAATTAGGTTATTACGGGACATGGTTCAATTGTATTTCAATAATTCGCTTGCGCGTAGGGGTCTTTAGCTGTGGAACATCATAGGTGGATGCAGACTACTTTATCCGACTCAGAGATATAGAGTTCCTAAATGTTGATAATACATTTATAGGGTCTAACATTGTTAGTTTTGGAGTACCTACGGACCCCACCTTACATTTGAGACCAAGTTTGCTTTGATGCGACTTTTTTCCAGGAAAACACATAAATCTGTGTTTATCCGGCAGACTATATCCCGAAATCACTTTGTCTGATACATTACCCTGGGCAGTGGCGGATTAAGCTCCACCAAGGCCTGAGGCGACAGTTGCTGGAGGGCCTATTTAGTTTTTAAATAGGGCCTATTTAAAATGGCGTGGGCCTAATTAATTTCGGGTCAGGGCCTATGTTGATTCCCGTTGGGCTTAAACCCAACCCCCTTAACATTCATTGTCTATGCGTTTTTAATCGTATCAGACAAGTCTAAAAAATTTTTTTTACAAAATCTTTGGGCCTGAGGCTGCAGCCTCATCAGCTTCACTGATAATCCGCTACTGACCCTGGATTTCACAATATGCAAATGCGTAGTTCGATTGATGAGGTGCGGTGGGAGGGTGAGGGTAATGCGTACTACAGTCCGTCTTAAACAGGTGTCTTGAAATGATTAAGTCAACTACGATATTAAGTCTAAACTTTTATTACAGTAAACCGTTCAAGGCATTCGACGTCCGTTCTGGAGTTTGTATGGTCACACATCATTAGACATCTTAATAAAAATATTTTGGATATTGCTCACGGATCCATTCATCGAAGCTTAATGGTGTTCGACAGTATTTACCGCATGCATCATCACAACATATTTCATCAGCAGAACAATTAGCATCAGTCTGACAAACATCTTCTACTGCAGCACAAAATACTACAGTTGGATCTAATGGAGCTGGACATAAACCTGAAGATAGCAAAACAATTTGGAACCATCATAGTAACATCAGAAAGTTGAGACGCTTTCGTGACCAATATCGGGATCAACCTGGAAGACCTGATTACTGCCCCATCGCCAAACATAGCGAGTTACCGTGTGTCCCCAGCAAGGCCATAAGTGTTTTGTTGGGATTGAGCTATATCTAGTTAAATATCTTACATAATATAAATAGTAAGAATCGAACCGAATATTAACAAGAGAGGGGGAATGGAGTTTAACCCCCACTCGCACTCGACGTGAACTAGCTCATTTTTGGACTAGCATATGGTTCAATTTTTTTCAATAATTCGCTTGCGCCTAGGCGTCTTTATTTAGGAAGGAAACCGGGTTACCCAGAGAAAACCCACAAGGTTGGACAGGCGACCCTACTCCTGGCTACGTAAAAGTGTGGGTTGTAAACCATGCCACTTGACTCAATGACAGACTTTATGATCTAAAGCGCATTTCAACACATTTTAGATTTAATGCACTTACTGTTTCTCGATCGTGCAGATATCTGAAAGCAAAAGAGAAAAATGTATTTTAGTTTTAGCTGAAACAAGATTAGTCTGTTTATTTCGTCAAATATGGAAGAAATAAGCTAAGCATTCCTAACAATGCATTAAGTTTATAACAGATAAGATTGAATATTATAATTATGAATATATTCATATACATAGCTTTGAATCAGAAATTCGAATAGATCATTACATATTTATAATGACGTATCGTTTATCTCTTGGGTTATAATTTGACTTATTTATTATTTTTATTAAACAAAACCATTTTATTGGTTAAAAATGATGAATGAGTTATACTTTAGTAATCGACAAGTAATGAATCGGATAATGTTAATGGCTTGTAATCTATATTGATGAATCAATTATGTTCTAAGGAAGTAACCTGTACCCACGGTGTACTAAGGAAATTAACTTTAATGAATTAAGTGATGTGGTAAAACAGGATGCCCTTTGGGAAAATTGGTCCTTTAAAACGAATCAAAAATTTTGATTGTACATTGTACATCGTTTTCGTTTTAAATGTTCGTAAACTGTAAATTGCAAATAAACATCGTCTCCAACATAATCTATAATTGATGAATCGGACAACGTTAACGGAATGTAATCTATAATTAATGAATCAGATAACGTTAAAGGAATGCAATGTATAATTGGTGAATCAGATAACATCAAAGGAATGTAATCTATAATTGGTGAATCAGATAACGTTAAAGGAAAGTAATCTATAATTTGTGAATCAGATAATGTTAAAGGAATGTAATCGATAATTGGTGAATCAGATAACATTAAAGGAATGTAATCTATATAATTGATAAATCCGTTATACCCTAAGTAATTATTTTATCCACCCTCTTTGTAAAAACGCCAGTATTTTAAGGATTAACGTCCACTTGGCTATGCAGATCGTAGAGGAATGGTCAATAATGTGTATCCAGATTTCTAGCCTAGCTATGGCTCATCGTAAACTTTGGAAGTGCAAAGTAGACAATTTGGAACTAGTTGAACTTGCAGCTGTCTCGCCAAATGGAATTAACAATATAAGATAAAACCCCAATGGATAATAAATTTAAACACTATTTACCCAAACAGGTCCAACAGCAACAAGACAAACCAGAACCAGACAAAGTTGTACAGTATTCATATTGATGACAATAGTTGTTATACTATGGAATACTGTCAAACGGCTCATGTTTTATACTTATTATAAATATATGTAGGTGTATCATATTATAAATTAAAACAGGTGTTTATCTATCTCAACACTTGGCTGATGTTTATATATTTAACTTTATAAGATCATTTTACTACGAATCAATAAAATATATCTAATTTTTGATATATGTAAGTAATCGTATATTTAGAAGCAAGGCTAAACAAACAGAAATTATTTACATATTGAGATGTCTTGTATCAGAAAACTGATTTAGAAAATAAATATATTTTACTGTGTATTTATCTTGTAGACCGGTGGGTAGAATCGTTTCAAGTTGTTATATGATTCGTGTCTCTTGAATTAACACAAACAGTCGTAAAATTGTGTATCATTTAATTGTAATGAATGGTGTTCAGAATAAACTGTATTCACAAAACTGTAATGCAATATACATTATACTGATCTACAAAACACCTAAAATCGAAAATAAAAGGCACAAGGACACGATTCCGTGGAATACATTTACGGTTTATAATTGATCAACATTTTGACTAAACAGTAATGCGTATTTCCAGTTCAATTGAATGGGTTTAGAGTTTTCCCCCACCCACACTACCCTTTTAAATGAAAAACAAATCATCTTTGTTTTTTTCAATCATTCATAATCATGTTGCCCAACCAATGCCAAACAGATACACTCCCTTGCAAAAAGAATACATTTTTCCAAAATAATATAAGTGCAACTTACTCACAAGGCCTCTGAATAAAAATCCGTGCTTTGAAATAGGCTATGATTTCTGTTTCAAATGTTTTGTATTGTCGATGTATTCCCACTACCACCTAAAACAGGTGACAGTGAAGGTTCGTTTGCCTTTGGATCGACTTTGGATGTGTCTTTACAATGTTAATGATACTGACACACCGTTATAAATATGTTAATTCTGTTATATTTTGGTTATAAAAGTGTAAGCGTGGTATCGTGTTATCGGAAGTCAAAATCTGGAAATTTTCATGGAACCCTAAAACACCGGAAACTGTGCTTCGCCAATAAAACCTCAAAATAGACACTGCTTTCTTATTAGTAAGTCTTCTAAATCCACCAAAACACACTGCTCTGGTTTTACAACTTTTATATACCCTGTAATTTTATTAATAAACTTCTCAAACTAATTATACTGACCTCGTCCCTTTTCAATGTTGTAATTATTTGCCCTGAAATATAACTTTATTTCTGATATTGGCCGTGATGTACATTATAATCACATTTAAAACTATTACTACGATGTAAATATTACATATTTAATATACTCTTAATATATCGATATATTAATTGTTCATTCCATAACTTTGGCCACGGCGAAATGTGTCTAATACAATAAAATAAAACCAAGTACGAACAATCCAAACCATAAGACAGAATTCGAAGTCCTAAAAAACGTTATAGGCAAAATAGTGTAATCAGCAAATGGACTGCTCCTCGTGTACAAAATACACGACAAACAGTGGTAACAAGTGTCCGGAAGAGTAAGCTTACCCTGCCTGGCGCCACACCCGCCATAGCTGCATCCAAACTATTAGGCGAAATCTCGGTAAAATAGCGTGATTGGCCAATGGACTATCAATGACAGCCAAAACCGGTTGTGTTCCCAAAACAAACGGTATAGGCAAATATATATGTGTAAATTTGACTGCCGACCTGTCAATAGGCACAATTCAATGAATCAAACAATTCAATATTAAAACACACAACCAATCAATTTAATTCAGTTTTCAATCAATGTCAATAGAACGTCATAATTACTGAACCCCGTGTTCAGCATAAATATAATATTCCTGAGCTCCGTGCCCACATTCCGATTTCGGATGCTCAGAATAATCACTTTATTTAATGTTCAATATAATAATATTCTAAGTAGTAGCCACATGATTATGCTTTTACTAGGAAGCGTACTACTACATAAACCGTGGTCAAGTAGATGCCTAGTATACAAAATATTTACAAGAAATCATTCCACAGTCCTTTAATATTATTGTATCCCAAACATTAATACAAAATACATCCTTTATAAACTTAGGGATATACCTATTTAGCTGACGTGATAAACGTTTCTATTGCCCCCTGTATTGTATTTATAAATAAGTAATTCCCTAATGTAGATAAGTGTGTGTGTGTTAGTTGTATTTTACGTCCGCTTCTACCAAGGTGGTATCGCAGACAATGTAGATAAGTGTGTTCCATCAGGGTAACGAATGTAGAAGCCTCCAAGTTTTAATGTTTCATTAGCTGCCGACGAATTTACCCCTTGCCCAGCTTTGTTATACTGAGTTGATGCCTCCCCGGTTAAATCCACTCGCCACTTTATTCTAGGTAATATTTGTGACCAGACGATTTTTGTGTTTGGGAGCAAAGTCTGAATCAATAGTAGAGTTTCTTCCCTGATTCGCTTACGCATTTTCAAAGCAGAGATGAAACCAATATCATTCCCACCAAAATATAAGACAAGCCAACAGTGAGGCCGATGTCCCCCGTCGAAATCCCAAAATAAATAGATGGCACATATTAATTAATCGCACTTTTTTTTCAAAAGTATCGAGCAATCAAACTATACACTAAGTTTCATCACTCTCGATCAGATAGAATCAAGATTATCTTGTCCCAAAGCATCTACCAATGAAATCGATTAGCTCTGCTTTAGCTTCAGCTCGAAATTTTAATCATTGAACTCAGTCAAGACATCCACCTAATAAACATCTACATCACGTTTAAACATTCTACCTCAATTAAAAGCACAGTTATGTTCCAAAGTCTTGACCAATCAAACTGTTTATCGCTCCTTAGCCTAAGCAGAAAATTCTCACCATCAAACTTAGTCAAGGTAATGATATAATGAATATATATCCGGAGTTTCATTGCTCTCACTTCATTATAACCAAAGTTATCGTGCCCCAAAGCATCAACCAATCAGATTGCTTATCTCTGCTTACCGTAAGCAGACAATGTCCATCATCGAACTCCATCAAGGCATTCACCTAATGAAAGCCTACACCGATTTTGAACATTCACCTCAATTAGAAGGAGACTTATTGTGTTCCAAAGTCTCGACCAATCAAATTGCTTATCGCTCTGCTTGCCCTCAACAGAAAATGTTCATTATCAAACTTAGTCAAGATATTGATGTAATAAAGCTATACACAAAGTGTCCTCACTCTCACTTAATTAGAACTAAAGTTATCGTGTCCCAAAGCATTAACCAATCAAATTGCTTATAAGAAAATTCTCATCTTTGAACTCCATCAAGGCATTCATCTAATAGACACCAACGCCAAGTGTGAATATTCTAACTCAATTAGAATGAGAGTTATTGTGTTCCAACGTCTCGACCAATCAAACTGCTTATCGCCCTGAGCAGCAAATACTCATTTTCGAACTTAGTCAAGGTATTGATGTAATGAATCTATACATCAAGTTTCATCACTCTCACTTAATTAGGACTAAAGTTATCGTATCCCAAATCATCAAACAATCAAATTGCTTATCTCTGCTTACCGTAAGCAATGTTCACCATCGAACTCCAACATGGCATTGACCTTAATAAACACCTACACCAAGTTTGAACATTCTAGCTTTATAATTAATTAGTTTATTTGCAAATACATACATATAAGTATATGCGTATAATACAAACGGGATCAGAACAAATTGTACAATTTACGAACCTTCTCCCAGTATAATCTAAAATATTTACAATTGCCACAGAAATTTAATTTAATACATAGTTATATACATATATACATGCTACCTTAGGATAATAAATAAGTCCATTTCGTTACATGCTCAATGAGTATTAAGGGTGATAAACCACTGGAGAATTACAATAATAGCTACAGATTGCATGTGAATCTTTTCGTTTCTTTAATGTAATTTTGTACGGTGAGAAAAATATGGATATTAAAAGATTTAGGAAATGTAGAATCATCTCAATAAATTTTATGCAACTCAGGTCGTGGTAGATGGCTTATAAAGCCAAGTTTATCAAGTAAGTGATGGCGTTGTAACACATATTTTGAGCAATCAAAGAAGTAGTGAAATGAATTTTCAATGCTTTTGTTATCGCATTTACAGGATGGGTTTTGAACGATGTTTGATTTATTAAGATCGTAATTTAGACCACTACAGGTATGACGTATACAATTATGGTAAATGGATAATTTTCTATTGCCGATGTTTCTTAATTTTGGAGGTTTGACTTTAGTCTTTATATTGGTTGTAAACTCAGATTTTAAACCCGGACGTAAACTATTGAATTGTTGAATGGTTTTAGGAAAAAATGAGTTCTTTGTTACAGTTAAACGAACAAGTGGTACTTTTAGATCATTACAGTTTCTAAGATTATAACTTTTGCTATGATAACCTATTATGTCTTGAAGATAAGACGGCCCTGTTTCGTGAATAAGCTTATGTAGTAAGCACAATCATGTTATCCTTCTGCGATCATACAATTTAGTCCATGCAGTTTCAAAATAAAGCGATTCACGAGATGCATAAATAGTGCAACCAGTTACCGTGCGGGCAGCTTCAAACTGCAATTTTTCAAGTTTTTCTGAGTTATAATTTGAACAGTTATCCCATACCTTACAGGCATACTCAAGAATTGGTAAGATATAACATTTATATAATTTATTTAAATTGGATTGTGTAAGTTGAAATTTAGCTCTATGTAAATGGTTAAGTTTAAAAGACGCTTTTTATATTATAGATTCAATATGATAGTTCCATTTAAGGTCATCTTGGATATACTTAAATGGAACTATCATATTGAATCACATTCTAGCTCATTAAGAAAGTTATTGTATCCCAAAAAGTGTGATGGACAGACAGACGGACGAACCCATTTTAATAGCCCGCTGCTTTCTTCGAAGGGCGGAGGACAATAAGAAAGTTAGGTGGGTCTTCATAATTTAGGAGTTGTTTTAGGCGATTTTTTTTTCTAACCATCTCATTCCCGACTTACTTTGCTACCACAACGC